ATGGAAGTCTAGAATACAACACCAGGGAAAGTCTACAGACAACAACAGATGGAAGTCTAGAATACACAACCAGGGAAAGTCTGGAGACAACAACAGATGGAAGTCTAGAATACAACACCAGGGAAATACAACAACAACAGATGGAAGTCTAGAATACACAACCAGGGAAAGTCTGGAGACAACAACAGATGGAAGTCTAGAATACAACACCAGGGAAAGTCTACAGACAACAACAGATGGAAGTCTAGAATACACAACCAGGGAAAGTCTGGAGACAACAACAGATGGAAGTCTAGAATACAACACCAGGGAAAGTCTACAGACAACAACAGATGGAAGTCTAGAATACACAACCAGGGAAAGTCTGGAGACAACAATAGATAGAAGTCTAGAATACAACACCAGGGAAAGTCTGGAGACAACAACATATGTAATTCTAGAATACACAACCAGGGAAAGTCTAGAGACAACAACAGATGGAAGTCTAGAATACAACACCAGGGAAAGTCTGGAGACAACAATAGATGGAAGTCTAGAATACATCACCAGGGAAAGTCTGGAGACAACAACAGATGGAAGTCTAGATCACAACACGCTGGAAAGTCTGGAGACAACAGATGGAAGTCTAGAATACACAACCAGGGAACGTCTGGAGACAACAGATGGAAGTCTAGAATACAACACCAGGGAAAGTCTAGAGACAACAACAGATGGAAGTCTAGATCACAACACGAGGGAAAGTCTACAGACAACAACAGATGGAAGTCTAGAATACACAACCAGGGAAAGTCTGGAGACAACAACAGATGGAAGTCTAGAATACACAACCAAGGAAAGTCTGGAGACAACAGATGGAGGTCTAGAATACAACACCAGGGAAACGTCTAGAGACAACAATAGATGGAAGTCTAGAATACAACAACAGGGAAAGTCTACAGACAACAACAGATGGAAGTCTAGAATACAACACCAGGGAACGTCTAGAGACAACAACAGATGGAAGTCTAGAATACAACTGAAGAGAAAGTATGGAGAGCAACTACAAAGAAAGTTTGTAGTGCAACAAGTTGAAGTGAACATGCTATTATGAGCGAGAGACATTCTATTTATAACCATTGTATAAAAACTTTAAGAATGATCTCATGCTAACCTGGGTCACCTCATAACTGACCCAGATACAACATGACAACAATTCTAATGTTGTTCTGGCCTTGGTGGGGATTTAATCCTCAAAGATGTTACTGCTGTACTGGTTATGTATTAGATCAGAAGGGATTAAGGTTGTAGTAAACTATGGCTACAAGGTGGAGAATTGGGGGTCTGACATACAGGTGTACTGGTATTTAACTAGCCCATTTTATATTAGTGTCAAACAAACTTTTGTAAAGAGATATATACATATAGTTGAAACTTGCTATCTTGAAATTCAAGGGACCGTGGAAAATATTTTGATTTATCCGAATTTTGATTCAAACAAAGTGTCCAAATAAGGATGATGATGTCAGTTTCCTGACGTTGATTGCACTCAAGTTGTTCCATCCCACACACGTGTTCACAAACTAACCTTACTGATGAGGCATATGTAGATATGATTTAAGGAATGACAATAAAATGAAAACAAAATTTGCTTCTGATATGCTACTAGAAATGATGTATAAAGATACTGATCATAGTAATATTACTTTACTAAGAATAAATAAATATTGGAAAAATGCAACACTAGAAAGGATTGATTGACCTGTTATAGAAAACATTGTCCAAACAGTAAATCTAGCAAGGTATCTGATCGGAGTTTTTTAGTAAAAAAGCTAGAAAATTTCTACCTTGGAATCGTGGAGATCATATTTTGTCCAAAAATTTTGTACTGGTTTGATGGTTTTCTTTCCTGAAGATGCGCGCAGCCTATCTGAATGTTTTCATGTCTTGTGTAATATGCTATTTGTCTTACATACAGGTAAAGTCACTGCTTGAAAAACAAAATTACAAAAATACAGATGGAAAAATTCGGAACAAGGAAATTATTTCAACTTAAACAAAATTTGACTCAAGCTATTTCAAGACAAGGAGTTTCAGCTGTATATATGTACTTATACACAAACAGGTAAAAGTACATATACACAAAGAGATAAAAATGAAAATAGTTAAACACAGGGAATGAACAATAATCAGGTAGTTACTAGTGTTTTTATCAATGCTTCCAGTATAGATGTGTAAGTATTCGTATAGTTTATTTGAGCATGTTTGGCTCCAGACTATAAATTAGCCACAATTTTGCTGAATAATGACGTTATTATATATGAAAGTACATACAGGCACTCAGAAGTTGCTGTGGAAAACTGATTTGTTAACTTATAGAAAACAAAATACTTCCCACAATTGGGACAGATTCCTGATAAAAGAGTTTTTGTTGTAAGATATTACATGTTGTAATTGATGTACACATGTCTGGACCAAAGTGACAAATGGTGATGAAAACTTATATAAAAGTTTATGTTGTATTCCAGATGTATGTATTGTTGATAAAAAATAGTAAGATCACTTTCCTGTCTGTAGACACAAAGCATGACAAGTATTTTTAAGTAAGGAAAATGATAAAATTTGATAATAACTGATATGTATGGAGGCCGAGGAGACTTTTCTGTTCATAGTGTTAAACCGAGGTTTGGTGTCTTCATTGTTTAGCACAGGCCTCCTTTACTAATTATTATCCTACAGCACACGCAGATTCGCTTGTTTGTAAACAAAGGGAAATGTAATAACACAAAAATATATGTCCACATCCAACAACAAACAAAAGGTCACCCACAAATTGTACAGAGTGCAGTCCCCAACCTGCAGGTCTTCATATAACAATGCCATGTACAGACACAAGGTCATCATTAGCAGTGACCTTTACCTTAAAGGTCATGACCTCAGGCATTTAGAGAAAGAAGCAAATGAATTAGTTGTCACTCTTCTCCCCTCGCATTTCCCCCTCTTTCATCTGAGTTCAGTTCAAGAGCTCTGACACAAAGACTTTTTTCTCATCTGTCATGTCAGTAAGATGCTTTGAAGTCTTGATCTGGGGGAAGCTTGAATGTTTGACCCCAGTTTCTAATGTGTGAACTTACACTGGTTGCCATGGGATGAAAAACAAATGTTCTCATCTTTCTGATTCATGAAATGATGTAGATCATGTATCACAGAACAAGGAGATGTTTTGTTTTGAATCAAATATAGTAACTGGCTGTATACTGGACAACTGTAAGTGGATCAGTGTGTTATCAGAATGAACTGCTCTATTTCAATATTTTGTGTGAAGTTTATTCTATTTCTTTTTCTTTTTGAAAAACATGTAAAGAAGGTGGGATAAAATTTTACAAGGATATTAAACTTGTTTTTTTTCTCTCCTGTAATTAGCCCGCCTCTTAACTTTGAGTAAGCATTAAACATTTTGAACCTCTTGGTTCATTGGAGAATACAGCAGGAGTGTGGATTTTGTTGTGTGATACGGGGCAGCTATTGGTACAGAACTTCTTTAAAGCAAAAAATCCTTTTCCTATACATTCAGGTATTCTGAATAAGTTGGCGATATGAAAAGGATCTAGATGTTTTGTTTTCCTACCCCAAAGTTGTTTTTCCTCATTTCAAATATATAAAACATTTATTTGTTTATTTATTTAGTAGGATTGATTGTCTGGTTACTGTATCTGCATCTTTTCTTTTGTTTCTCAAATTCCTCCGTGAGGATGAAGTGGCTTCAATAATATAAAGCAATAGAATCTGGAATGGAAATGTACATAATTGGCAATTATCAACCTTTCAGTAGATGATCTTATTTCACTATTATACAGTGTGTACTTTTATTAACAAAATAATCTTCATTAAAACCCCAAATTAAGTTGTATGATAAGTCATTCTATAACTTTGTATTGAGTCAGTTCATTTGATAACATTTAAAAGCCAATTTTATTTCTAAATTGAATGAATTTGGAATTTTATAAGTACTTATGGCTGCTTTAGTTTAACATCTAATTTAGTTTGTTAAAATGCACTAAGAAATTCTTCTGATAATAAAAAAAGGCTGTTAATTTTTCCCTCACTGCTTGTGATAGATTACAAATTCCATTGCTGTTTTCCAGAATATTATAAATTTCGTGACTGTGATAAAAACTCTTTACATCAAAGTTGGGAACTACCTCAAAGAATGTGTGCTTGCATTTTGTTAACAATTTTTATATTGCAAATGGTGAATGGTTCATTAAATAAACATTTTAAAGTGGTGCAAGTTTGACCTATGCTTGCATTTCATCTATTCATCACCAAATCACTGATACATAACAGAATGTAAACAGTTTCACAACCTAGAACGTCAAGTGTTGTAAGCTTCAAATCAACTATTTCAAAACTTGTGACTCCTGATTTTATTACAGCATGAAATGACAAAAAGATCTGTTGAACTTGTCAAGATTCAGAATGTGACATTATTTTGTCATGGTGTGATCCTCTGTTATATTTAACTTCCTCTGGTGATAATTTAAAGTGATTGAATTAAGACACCTAGAAAATAGTTGTGGATGCTTCATGAAATTCCTCAAAATTTCATTAAACATTTATTTTCTATGTAATTTGTCATGTTATTTATCTTGCATCATGGTCACATTCTTATTTACTCAGATATATATATATATCACAACTTAAAGTTCTCCATATATATAACATTAGTTTAATGTTTATTTCCATGATCTCACTTTGATTTATTTTATGCTTACCATTAGAAATATAATGTATCAATTAAGTATGCATTTTACCTGATATAATTTATATTTTGTTTTATCTACATGTAGATAAATATGAATGCACATCTATATGTCATGCAGGCCCTCTAGACCTCTTATCTTTATTTAGAACTTAGTAATTTCTAATTACATATATGAAAATTTCACCAGTAAACATTTCCAATACACATTTTATAAATCATACACAAATGAATTTATCTTTAACTTATTTTTATATTTCAGATGTTACCATAACAACCAACACTATGGGTTAGAGAGAGAGTCAACACCACCTGTATCCATGACAACCTCTAAGGGAGGATTTCTTTTAATATACAAAAAGTTCTAAATTCTCCATCATAATGGGTAAGTGTGCATGGATACTTACTATTTGACTGTTACTTATTCCAGGTGAAGAAGAACATTTATATTTTCTGTGTCTGTAAATTGATCATAATTTTGGTGTGACTTCGTATCAAGTGACGTATTCACAAAATGTTTTTAAGTCCTGAAACTAACAGAGGATATAGAAATATAGATTGTAAAAAAATTGATTTAAAGAAAGTTATGATTACCAAGAGTAACAGGAGTATACTCTGAGGTTATAACAATTAAGGTCTGAGGCTAAGTCTTCAAATTTCAGAAATAAGCAACTTTAATTTGATAGTATATAATTTGGAAAAAAAAAAGAGAAAAAAATAAGATATAAAATGAGATACAAATGTAGATCTTAAGTGTTCACTTTGATTACAATATTTACCTTAACAGTTACCACTTATAGATATTCAAGGGACATAACTCTGTTTCAATTGGTCACAAGACAGTTACCACTAACATATATTAAAGGGATAAAACTCTATTTAAACCAGCCACCAGACAGTTACCACTTACAGATATTCAAGGGACATAAATCTGTTTCAACCAGTCACAAGACAGTTACCACTAACAAATATTAAAGGGATAAAACTCTATTTAAACCAGCCACCAGACAATTACCACTTATAAATATTCAAGGGACATAACTCTATTTCAACTTGTCATCAGACAATTACCACTTATAAATATTTAAGGGACGTAATTCTGTTTCAACCAGCCACTTTGCTATTACCGTCAGCCAGGAAAATCACAATCCTGTTAGTTTGTCATAGAAACCAATGTGTTAGAACAAAAGTGGTGTGTAGACATGTGGTCCATAGTATTGTCTTTACCCCAGGAGTGGAATATTGATGTGGAATATATAGACATCATTAAATTATTGATGTGATGTCTTTGAGTTGTGATGATGTCATACTGATTTTTATAACTGTGAAATTCCCATTTCACCATAGAAAAGTCACACACACTTAGGTAAAAGTGTGACAGGTACACCTGTTAATTATAAAAGAGAAAAAAAAAGTTTTTACCTGAATGTTTTTTTAGATTGACTTTCCTCTGTGACATTCTGTAACACATATCACTTCTGCCTTTGCTGATATCTTATTAAGAATCATCAGCCCCAACCGAGTTTAAATATGATATATGTCTATAAGTAATGCAGGATCTAAACTTAATGTAGTGATATGTAGGAAGCAGCTGCAGAAGTTAGAGAATATCAATTTTGTTTTCATAGTGGGATTAGAGGATTCTATATCTGTATTGGGAATAAACTTTTCTGTTCATTAAATAGGATTAGTGAAGTTATATTTGTAGCTTTCATATGGGAAACATGTAATCCTGACTTTTGGCCTTCCAGAAAACGTTAGGTACATTTGACAGGTACCTTTTTGATTTTCTCACAGTTCTGCAGAGATTCTCATAAAATTTGTAAAGAAATATTTTAGTTCACACATAGGGTCAAAGTAAAAAGTAAATCTTTAAGTACAAATATTGCGTGTGTCATGACTAACTGCTGTTTTTTTTATGTAGGTGAATACAATAGAGAGTAATTTCTGTTTTGGCTATTCATACAGTTATCTGTCACCAACCTGGTAGGCTTTACACGAAATTGTCTTGAACTAAATTGTCTTATATAATAGTGAACCAACCTACCTGTAACTTTGATTGTTTTAAATTTGATTTTTAAACATGTCAGAAAATGATGTTTAAATATTCAAATTAGAAAGAAGTATTTTCATCGCAGGAAATGAAAGATATTAGATAAGTTTAAAGAAAGCTTACTGAATAATTCTGACATTGATCCTGTGTGTCTCAAAAGATTATTTAGGTGCCATTCAGTGTAACTGATACTGTATATAAAGGAAACTATTCATTAATTTGTGTTCAATATTCTACAATCTATTACTGTTAGCTTCTGTTTCCATCTGACAGCCTAAACAAGTTTACAGGCTTCTCTATCAATTTGGCTTTGTAAAACATCCCAATAAAGTCATGGGCATGAATAAGGGTTAAAAGAATCCCTCATAAAGACACAGTAATTTGACGATTCTGTTGATTATTTTTACTTTAAACTGAATATATACGAACTATATGTTCTTCAACAAAGATAATTATTTTATTTATAGAAAAAAAGGGAGATAATTCAAAACAATTTTGACTCGTACTGATACATATATATAAATATATCTTTGACTGGAATTCAAAGATATATACTATGTGGGATTTTATCCTCGTTATAAGGGTGACATTGTCTTTTCTTTATATATATTGGCGTTACCATCCGACGCCTAGTAACTCTGACGTAAGCGTTGACCGTAGTGATGATTCTTTGTAAACCTGTCTTACTTTATAAAGGACTAGTCACTGTCGTTGGCGTTTTGCATTATCAGTACTTGGAGATTGAAGTTATACTTGGTATTTTGATTAGATAATTACAACTTTAAGCCCATTATAGGTGCTACTTGGGGTTTTTAAAGTGGGAGAGCTCATCTGTATAATAGCAATGAATACAGATGATCAGGATAATTTTGGGAAAATGATTTCTTTTTGTATCCTAGGTTGAATTATGGTGACAGATCGATTGTTACAGATTTAGAAATCCTGTATTGAGATATTGTTCCAACTTGGTTATAAGTGTGTGCCAAGTTATTTTGTCTAGCATCTGAGTTTTTATAGCCAATTAAATCATTTTCTAAACATATATTCACAAATTGCTAAACCCTATATTATAAACATTGGTTGTGTTTGTCATTATTGATAAAATTTTCGCTTACCTAGGCATGGTGGTAAAATTTAACAGACGATTCAGTAGCTGATGCGTTTGTTTTCCTTCAAGATGATTACAGTGAATTACTTAAATCATTTGATAGTAAGATATTAAAACTGATGTAATGGGTTTGATTGGTCATTATTTCATTTAAATCCTATTGAAAACAGAAGTATGGATATATATTTATCTGAAAGGCATTGGTATCAGAATGTAGTACACTGTATAGTAATTACAAGTGGAAAGATGTATGACACTAAACTGAGTAATAAGGTCAAATATGTAAGACACTTATTTTAATAATTTGGTCAAAAATTAAGGATAGTTGACCAAATAGGATGAAGGACACTGAGCTTGATAATTAGGTCAAAGGTGTAGGACACTTAAAGGATGTAGGACATTGAGCTTGATAATTAGGTCAAAGATGTTGACACTGACCTTGATAATTAGTTCAAAGATGTAGGACACTATAATGATGTAGGACACTGAGCTTGATAATTAGGTCAAAGATGTAGGACACTGATCTTGATAATTAGGTCAAAGATGTAGGAAACTGAAGTTAACAATTAGGTCTAAGATGGGTTGTTGTGTCAAAAAAATAGCCCACAAAACTAAACAATCAAAGCATTGATGTTGATGAACTGAGTGAGTTTATTGACAAGTGTCAAGTGCCATTTCATTAGGCAGATGTTTAGTAAGGTGTCTGTAAATCTATATACTACGTAATTACTTTGAAAAATGATGAGATCATTAATTAGATATGAAGTTATTTCTACTGTTTTCAAGCTTAACTAAAAACTGGTAATTGAATATTAACTTTTTTCTGTTAGATTTCATTTAAACTTTCAACCTGTAGCTTCTAAGTTTTTATCAGGGAAAAAAAAGTATTTCAGAATGTTAATAGTAAGTGTAAGCAGAATTGTTTTTATTGTCATTTTTTACAGTTAAAGTATGAAAGATTCAGTAATTTTTTCATTATTTTGTTTTGATAATCTCCAAATGAATTGCTCTGTGACAGTTATACTTTGTATCGTGTTATCTACCGGATACAGAAATCATTGGTTTCCAGGTCGTAAGTATCTGTGTTTGACCAATCAATAATATTGTACGTTCTGATTGGTCAGTGGATTTCAGGATAGGTCTTTCGTGTTGCAAATGAGTCGGGGCATCGGTACTGTGAACAGTACCTGTATCTGGGGTAATTAAATCGACTACCTGTCAGGGCATAATACAAGTTCTGCATGACCTAGTTAGGACAATAATCTGTTTATAGAACAGAAAAAAATACTGGACTAGAATTAGCTAGAGGGAGGTATCAAGATGGTATAGTGGGTGAGAACCATAAATAGTTCATAGGTGTACATGTTACTGAGTGAAAAATAACACAGAAACAGCTTACACTATTTGTTATACCTACATAAAAAGTGTGAAATAGAAATAACAAGTAAAATGCCCCCTGTCTCCTGACCCACTATCCCCTGCTTAGCTCTACACTTGACAGTCTTCTATTATCTTCAAGTCTTTGCAACAGGTCTTAAAAACTGGACTCTTATGTAGGTGGTTGTTCTCAAGTTTAGTCATACTGAAAAAGTGGATAACATTATAAAATAAAAGTAATTGGGTATTATTATTTTTGTAAGTTTAAGGTGAAATGTATTCAGGAGAAATTAGGATAGATGAATAGCAAGACCTTGTAACAAAATTCATTCACATTATGAAATTCTCAACAACTCATTGAAGCCAGGAGAGAAGAAACATGAACACGCTGTGATGGATAAGAAAGTAGTGCCAGCTTCCTGTAGTAACTGCTGTAGCTAAAAACTATCCACTTTTTTTTTCTTCCTACTTAAAAACTTGATACAAGGTTACTTAAGTGTTTGGAGTACTTTTCTTGTTATAGCTGCACACGCACTGTTACCAAGTGCTCCATCACCGAGGTCTGACCGAATTTCCCTGGCAGCATATACCATTGTAATCTTTTAATCGTTTGGAATAGTCTGCCAGCACAGAGAGAGAGAGAGGGATAAAGTGGGGATTTCATTTATGAGAACGTAAAAAATCAGTTTTTGAATGATAAAGAGAAGGATAGAAAGGGGATGATGATTTCAATTGTGTAGTGATGGTCTTAACTCTTACATAAGTAGATTGAAGTTTTCAGGGTAAAATTTCGGGTGATGAACAGGATTAGAGGGGGAGATGATTTCAACTGTGATGAGGGTCTTTC